AGCTACATAGTTGTTCTGTGTGCTATTCAATCCACAACGTTTTTGCCGACTGAGTGTGTGCGTGCGTAGTAAAGTAGTAGGCGTTAGATATTTATTAATGACAATCAGTTAAAATAACGCATTACCATGCATTCTGAATTTAAAAGATAAAAAGGACAGAGTGCAATTTTAGTGGTGCCGACGGAGATTGAACTCTGGTTGCTCGTATTTCACGAAATTTATAACAGCGCCTGTACTACCACAGCTCATACTATAAACCTGTAATTAATATTAGATTTTTCTTTTAACTAGATTCCAAATTCGGAAGGTCGCGCAGGCATGTGCGGCATAGTAGATACGGACAATAACCTAGACCTAGATAAACTAGTTAAGGATATGTCAAGGGATCTACCGAAATATGCTCGACCCGTATTCCTGAGAGTAATGAGCAGCCTCGATATGACCGGTAAGTACATGGTATTATTTATTTAATTATTAAGAGAACATTAATTAACTTTTGTGACTTTGATGTAGTGGTGGTATAGAATATCCACTAACCCATATCGTCCATCGGATGTCGTAAGAAGCGACATTGGGAAAACCAAAAAAAGACAGCAGCGTCTTAGTAATAACAACTATAATGTGAAAAACTGCAGTTGCCAACCCGTCAGACAATTAAGATTAAAAAAAATGCTTTCTGAGCCAAATTATGGGGAGGCCTATGTTTAGCAGCGGACTTTGATACACTCTCCGCGCAATTGCGAAGTAAGATCTGTCAACCTATTTCGTCCGAAATGCCAGAAGGATCTCACTACATCGGGTACATGTAGATTTAACCATCCCATTTTTGCCACATGTAAAATGCCCATACCGGCGACGGGTGCAATGTCCAAGGTGCAAGACGTATGTATTGTGCGCTGTACCGTGTGCACGTTAGTGTTATCAAAAGAAAATTTTGTAAACATAAGCCGCAAATATATATACAATATGTAACTTAATTAACGCACATCCTCAGACACCCCAATTAGTATATTATGTTTTAATCATAATACACACACTGAATTTTTAGTTAAACTATTTTATGCAATGGTTATTTATCAAATTAGTTATACTAATTCCGGAAGAATGTTGTGATCACAGTACAAATCCACGAACGCAAAGACTTTAATGTGCTTGAAATAATAATGTGCATAAAGAAAAAATTCGTTTTTCTTTATTTTTATTGAATGACAGAAATAGTAATAATACAAATAAAACTGCACTCTTAAAAGTCTTATTGCCTTAAGTTAAGGTCGATTTCAATTTGTTTTGACTGTACAGATTTAGTCTGACTGTAATTTACGTAGTTTTAATTATTTTTGGGATAAAAATTACCTATATTAAAAATGATAGGAATCGATTCAGTAAACGATTCTGAACAAATTACTTTCTCAAAGTGCGTTAATTATGTTACATGTTGTATATGGATGTGCTAAATCGCTCTCGGTCGTTTTTTGAGTAAAAATATACTTATTATTATCGCATATTATTGTAGCTATAGTTGGTAATTTGCCAAGTAAAAAAATTAATTTCAGAGTATTGTAGTACCTACGATGTGATGTGATTTTCTTACAATTATGTAAAATTATATTGATTATGTTGCAGGTACATTCAAATTAAAGAAAGTGGACTTGCAGAAAGAGGGTTTCGATCCAAAAACTATCAAAGACAAGATCTACTACTTAGACCCAAAACTGGAAAAATATATTCACTTAGGGCCAGAGGAATATGACAAAATAATGTCAGGACAAATAAGACTGTGATTTTAATAATTAAGATGTCGTTACTAATTGACTTTTATTTAATTTTTTATTTAAAAAAATAGGCGTAAGGAACTCAGACATTTGGTGAAATTAGTTTTTGCTTAGTTTAAATTTAAATCAATGAAAGACTTTTTAGCTAGTTTAAATAAAGCTGTGGGACAAACTAATTATTATAAGAATAAACAATTATATTTTAAATTGTTCTTTCGTATTTCAATTATGAAATATATATATATATATATGCCGCCGCAAGGACATCTTCTGTTGACGAAGCCTAAACTTTGCATTGTCTTTTAATTGTTATAAATTATAATAATCAACAATGTATATTATTAATACCACAATTTAATAACAGCAATTTATCCGAAACATAACATCATGTAACTAGCTAGTTCTTTAAAACTCTTTTGGTTTACAAATCTATTTATTGACAACTAATTCCTATTAAAATAACTATTTATTCGAATATCAACTTTTGACTCAAATATTGTTTTAAATCGTAGAAATAAATAATTGTCGATTTGATTATTAATCGTGGTGATTGAAATTACTTAAGTAACCGAATGATTTCAATATAAAGTTATTGTTTAGTGAAGTATTGACCAATCAAATTGTCGACCAATCAGAGCACACCTAAGTCGTTATTACGTTTTGCTTATTGTATGGTCGCGGGAATAGACAGACTCACTTCAGTTCCTGCGCTCGCCGGTGTAGTTCTATTGCCTCACCATAAAAACAAACAACCTCAAGGTCTCCGCTCCGACATATATATATATATATATATATATATATATATATATATATATATATATATTTATAAATAGATTGAGCAAAACTAGATCATACTCGCACCTTTTTAACAATTCATGGTAGAACTCTTACAGAGTCTCCATTTAACATTTAAATCAGATCAGGGAAGATCTGTTCACACCAATTGGATCCAATTGAAGCTGAAATCATTTCCATCATTTTAACTTGATACAATAAAATTTTTGGTAGATCCCGATAATTTTCATGACAGAACATTGAAATTATTCTAGCACTACAGCACTGGTTCGACTCAGGTTCGACTGAGTCAAGCCACGCTCTCAAAGAATAACGAGGGAAACGGCTGAATATTGCTGTTGTGTTTTATATGGTGTGTGTATTAGGATCTTAATTCTCAGGGGTGACAACGCATTCTATACTTTCATTCGCAATCGATAATAGATGTAGGTGTCTATGGGCTACAGCATCTATATACCATCAGGTGAATTCTGGTTAGCTACTCACGTCCCGACAGTGGATTAGACCAATTAGTCAGACCTATGATCAAGCCAAAGAGTATAGTAGTTGTTTAGCAAAGTGTACTTTGCTTATAGGTTTGTCTATAAGTTTCTCTGTCTACGTTAGAATCATTACCCTGTTCTTAATCAAAAATAAAAATTAAAATATCGAATTATTTGTATGAAGGTCAAGTGAGCGCTAGAGAAGCTACGAAAGACGTTGTTGACATGTAAAATGTTTTGAGAAATTATCCCTTACCGTGTTGTGGCGGTGTATGAATATCAATATCATCCCGTGGATGTCGTAAGAGGTAACTATGCTTGGTAGAAAGTGTTATTTTTAGATAACCGTGACTATCGTTCCAATTACAAAAAAGTAACAGTGAAAAATCATCGAGACTTTGTCACGTTGGATAACTACTTGGAACATTAGAACGACTTAGAACGTGACTTTAAATATGCATTTTAGATTTATTATTAGGTTTTATTTCAGTATTCGATTTTTTATTACCTTCCTCACCTACGAACGTAACTATGTTAATTACCATTCTAATTATTATTTTTGAAATAAAAGAATTTCACCTGACCTAGCCGATCAGTCGATGTACCATTCCAGTCGACCGTACCGCAACTTATTACCCAGTAACAAGGTACAAGTAAGTTAGATGATTAACTAATATTATTTTTTAAATATTGTAAAAGGTGGAAAAATCTGATAGTAGGAACGTGACACATGCAAAGATACCGATACAAAAATAATCATAAATCAAAATACTATAATAATAAAATAAAAATATACAATATAATTATATCGATATCATGATAGATACACCCAGTAGGTGCCTGTAATAAATAAATAAATAAATTAACCATAGGTATATATCTTATTACGCTATCTTTGACCAATGCTATTTTTATTGAAAACAACTTTGTCATAATATGCACAATATATCGGAATTATAACACAAAACGTAATTTTCGCACATTGGACCTTGTAGAATATAAAATTTTGTAATTTTATTACAAGATTTTTAGTGAAAACTGCGCTAGAACTTCTAATTAGTTTGTGGTGAAAACTAATACTACATTTCATTTAGTTACTTCTGACTACTTAATTTCTCACGTGAACGACGCATTATTCATAATGCAAAGGTCGGTGCTACAGTCCCTTAAGCAATGAAGATGAAGCAATGGCAAGTTGACTGCCGAATTAGAGACCAAATCTATCCAAATGTAGAGAGGTGTAAGACAGAGTGATTTTATACAAAACATAACCTAAACTCTTCACCGCTGTATTTAAACACGTTTTCAAGATGCTGTACTAAAAATGATACGGTATTAACATCAATGGCGAGTACATCACTCACCTTCGATTTTGTGACGATATATATGAGAAGTCTTACATTAATAGAACGTAGATCTAAATAAACATGACAAAACAAAGGTTAAGTGGAACACTGGTAGATGCTGGGAGTATTAGGCTCGAAGTGATCGACGAGTATGTTTATTCAGGACAAATTATCCGACCAAATAAGTCCAACTTTGACCAAGAGGTTAACCGATGGATTCTACTCAGCTGGAAAGTAAGATTCTCTATTGGCAGCTTTATACCGTTAAGCGAAGTATAGTGTCCCCCCACTTCCTTTAAAAGCGACGACCTGTTAAATAGATGCCGGAAGTTGATGGAAGCATTGGCTCAAGACTGTCCCTTGTGGCATTCCTTGGCTTACGTTCAACAGTGACTTGTGAAGTAATGATCATGATTAAACGAGCATGAATTGAATAAAATTATTTTGACTTTTACTTTTTGGCTAAAGACCCTGTAGCTAATGGCGCTATAAATTAAAAATAAATTTATGACAAACAAAATGACAAAAATGACAGCCAGCTGACACTTGTCAACTTGTCATAATATAATTGCACTTTCCATTTGCAGCAATACTAATTTTATTGATTGATTCTTAGGTATTTATTTAAATAAAATTGTATATAAAACAGAGCATACATTTTACGTTTCAAAATATTCTGGGTATTTTATATTATACACAACAAAGTATTAAATTTCAAAAGGTGCGGAATAGTCTGGCGAGACGAAGATTTTCGACGTTCACAGCAGCGCGCCGACGATGTTGGTATATATCAGTTAACCGCGTTTCGTGGTGCAAAACGGTTGCCATGCTATTCGTAGCTGCTGCTTTAACAGCGGCATTTTGTGCCGTTTGGCTCTACCTCGGCTTTTTCGCGACGTGTGGATTGGCAATTGTTCTTGGTGTCTTATATGCAGTCTTATTCCACACAAGATGGTGTTACGTTGCAGTTATGACAGCTCCAAGGGATATCAGGTAAGCATTGTGTTTGCACTTTGTCCCATTATTTCATCAAGTAATCTGACCTGTTGATGCTTAAGGATCTAAGTAATTACTAACTCTTAATCAATATTTATCTTCCTCATGTGTTAGGTAAAATATGATAACAACTTAAAAAGATTTTTCCCTCCATTTCCATAAAAGTAAAGTTATGAAATTATCATTTTTATCAGTCATTTTTATTTATATTATTTATATTTAAAGTAAATTCTATTTGTAAATATAATTTGCACTACTTTTGGTGAGCCAGATATATAACGTACATTTGTAAAAAACTGAAATGTAAATTTTGTTTTTGTAATGTTAAAATTGAAAAATTAAATAAGTAGAGATACTTTTATAAAGCTCTATAAAGAAAGGCAAAGCAGAATACAGATCCATTTTTTCTTATTTTCGTTAAAAAGAGGAAACATTAAATAACAATAATAATTCAAGATTAAAATATTGATTCAGGAAAATGGTTATGCTTGACTTCAAAAATAACATATTTTAACATATATTTTTTATTTCTATTTTAGAGCCTTAATTTGTTACTTCAAGATACTGATTTTGACATGGCAGTTAACAAGGAAAAATTGGACACTACCTGATATATTTCATTATGTTGTTAAGAGGCACCCAACAAAACCTTGTTTTTTATTTCAAGATGAAGTCTGGACTTTTCAAGAGGTATGTAAAAATGAAATGTGATATAATCTTATTTTAAAACAATAAGTCGGCAGAATATCCTTGATGATGTAAATCGTCTTACTAGGGAAGGTCGCAAATAGCTGGTGGACAGCTTAACACTACACTTTTGTGTTATTGGTTATATATCCAAACTAATTAAGCTTCTTCTTAAAAATATATATATATATATAATAATAATATATAAACATCATCATCATTACAGCCCTTCACAAGTCCACTGCAGAACATAGGCCTCCCCCAAGCAATGCCACAAAGCATGGTCCTGAGACACCTGCATCCATCGACTTCCTGCATGTCTTACCAGGTCGTCACTCCAACGTGACTCCACGTCTAGTGGGGGGTCGCCCTACACTACGCCTACCAATACGAGGCTGCCACTCGAGAACCTTTCTTCCCCATCGGTTATCGGTTCTTCGAGCTATATGGCCGGCCCATTGCCACTTCAACTTACTAATCCGTTGGGCTATGTCACTCTGGTTTTAATGCGGATATCCTCATTTCTGAGTCTATCACGCAGAGAAACTCCGAGCATAGCCCTCTCCATAGCTCTTGCGCGTCCTCATACGGCCTCATATTATATATAATATAATCTTAAAATATTTATACCCCAACAAAATTCATTCATTCATTCATTACATCGTATCAAAAGCCCACTTAGACTGCTGGACTTAGACCTCCACAGTAGATTGCCTCATGGCATTGAATGATATTGGGTAGTGGATTCTCTAATGCCACCACTTCAAGGCTAAATAAAAGAGATATATATTTGATTTGTAAATGAAATTAATGACTTTATTCAATACAGTGTAGTTTTTACATAATACTTATTGAAAGACATTTTTGTATTTACCACTAGTTGCGAAAACACCTGTGTCCTGCAAGCAAGAAACCCTAACTACTTACTTTCTTAAACATATTTCTCTTTACATTTTGTTTGGACAAATTTTAAATGAATTTTAATAGAACCAGCATGGTAGCAATCACCTCATTCCCAGGGGTTATTTTCGTTTATGTATTCTTTGATATTATAATAATCCTTTTTGTACAATTTTCTTTAATAAAACATTTGAACTTGTTTATCTCACTCTTTTACCAACTTCTAAAAGGAGACAGTATTTATAACTTTTCTTTGGGTGAACCGATTTTGATGATTCTTTTTTTTATCTGAAAGCTTCTCGTGTGTCCCATATAAATTTAATCAAGATCTGACTAGTAGTTTTTGAGTTGTCTTTAATAATGCGTATTTAATTGACTTTGAATACATTAATTTGGTTGTATTGAAGTTGGTTGTACAAAATTTTTAATTTTACCACTTGTTTAATTAATGTATATTGATTAACCTGTAATGCAAATAATGAACTAACTGCTAAAATTGTACTATCATTGATTGGTATTCCACAAAGGTTATTTAGGTACATACGTATTGTATGTAAATTTAAGATGTTAGTAGTCTCTTTTGTAATTTCCTTTGTTATAAAAGAGTTATGCCCTAACTAACTATTTATACAGAACTATGGTAGCTCAGAGGCTAAGCGCTTGCTGTAAATTTCACTGCCACCACCAATGAAATTGTTAATTGCAATTTTAAATGCTGAATTACCAGATGCTCGGTGGCGAAGGGAAACCTTGTGAGGACATTTGCACGTCTGAGAAATAAGAAAAAAATAGTTATAAGTCATGTGAAGTTCACCAACACGTATTGGGGCAGCATGGCGGACATTTTCTTGCCCTAAAACTATCTGAGATAACAGTATGCATGTGCCTAACAGTGGGACATATATAGGCTGTAACTTTAAAAAAAATGTAGATGTAGAAAATCATCAGATGCAACATTTTGTTAACAAATATTTGTATAATTTCACCTTAATGTAGCTTGCACATTTAACTTAGAAAGTTCACAACGTTAGTAACAGACTAGTCCTGGTTTTTGGACGACCAACCTCACCTACAGACTGGGACTTTTGTTAGGCTGCAATCAATAATAATTAATCCTGTTTATCAAAGTCCTAAGCGTATTGTTAATATTATAAAATTGTTTATTAAAACATTAAATTAATAATAATAATATCCTCCAGACCGATTTTGGTCATGGCGACCAGTTTCAAAGAAGACTAGCCATCTGTACAGGACAGTATTATAGTGCCCGAGTGTAGGCACAGGTGCACTCTCTATTCCTTCACTCTCATAGTCCAGTAGAATGGTAATCGACACTACCGGGGAGAGATCAGGCGTAAGACCGACGGCTTTACGTGCTTTCAGAAGCAAGGGGTGAAACATCGTCAACTTCATAGCTTGGGGCTGCTACTAAGAATTTCTTCACAAAAACCCAATAAGTGATTTTGAGCCGACCCGGGATTCAAACCAGGGACCTCATGATCAGCAATCACGTTTACGACAACCAAAACAACGAGGCGGTCATTTAATTAGTAATGTGTTATCAACAGCAAATAATATTATTGGATAGGGTCTATGACATGACATATCAATAAACATATTATTAACTTTGTCATCACAATATATTTATGAATATGTAAATGTATGTACATAAAAACATAGTTTTCATTAGAATAAAGATGTTCAGGCCTTAAATATTAGGAACAAACATAAGCTTGTAATACCAGTTACGAGACTCCACATAATTAGTAATTCATTTATGGGGCAATGTATTACGCTTTTACAACAAAATTCTAGAAAATGTAGTAATTTGTCATTAAACAAGTTTAAATGTTTTATTAAAGAAAAATTGTCCAAATCGAGTTATTATAATATCAAAGAATACATAAATGAAAATAACCCCTGGGAATGAGATCGTCACTATGCTGGTTCTATAAAAATTCATTAAAAAATTGTATAATTTTTTTATTGTAAAGTGAAATATGTTTAAAAAAAAGTCCCGCTGGGTATCTGCTGCTGGTTCTTTCCAGGACCGAGGTTTTTTCCGAACCAGTAGTAAATAAAAATATTACTTTCAATAAGTATTATGCAATGTTCTATATTGAATAAAAATCTTTAATTTCATTTATATGCAATTAAAATAATAATAGTGAGAGCATGTTACCCTGCTGAACACTATAGTTAATTTATTTGTAGTTGGCCTTGTATTTTAGTTCATCTTTGGCATTGTAGCATACTCTTGAGGTCCACATATATTATTTTATGACCATGCAGATACAATTTTATTTAATCATAGGTCTTATCTTGAATGCCGTATGCATGAAGTTTATTTAGAAATGTTTCAGAGGTTTCTCAAAGTCAAAGGCCTTTGACGTTATCTACAGGCCTTTGACATTATCTACATTGTTATTTGTTTATTTATTGATACTTAATTATATTATTGTCACTTACATTGTTCTTTCTATGCTTAAAAAAATATAATTCTTAACTTTTTTCATAGAATTAAGGTGACAAACGAGCACACTGTCCACCTGTTGTTAAGTCAAAACTGTGGCCCATAGATATCTACATTTATCCTCAATTAAGAATCAATATACAGATCCGTTATCACCCCTAAGGAATAAGATGGAATGCCTCATATCCAGTAAAAAGGATCTCCGGTTCACTACTCTCACCATACAAAACACAGCAGCATTGGGCTGCTATTTTACGCTGGTGTTTTGTGAGAGCGTGGTCCTCCCACAGTCTAACCGACCCATTCATGCTACATCCATAATATGGCTGCAACACAGCTCTCGATGTTAACTATGTATTTTTTTATAACAAATTACAAACTGTTCTAGTGAATTAACTGAAGTTTAAAAGTACAGGTAAATTTCCCATTCTAAGGCGCCTTGTGGAATAAGGGATCCTGTACCAATATAACTAATCACACTTAGATTAATGGCATACTCCATAATCCATTTATAGCCAGTGTCTATTTTCGAACATCAATAGATACTACTTACGTTATATAATTGTCGGGCGTACTTGTTTTACAAAACTATTCATTTTGTTTTTACTTAGGTGGAGGACTTCAGTTTACGTGTCACTGCTGTACTCAAAGCGAATGGTATAAAGAAAGGAAATATTGTCGGGCTTCTCATGAACAACTGCCCACAAATGCCAGCACTCTGGCTAGGCAATGCCAGATTAGGTGGCATAACACCTCTTATCAACACCAATCTAAGGGGCAATGCTTTAATTCACTCAATCAACATTGCTAAATGTGATGTCCTAATATTTTCGGAAGAATACCAGGCAGGTATGAAAATTTATAATTGGCACCCAAAGTTAACCTTAGCTTATTCAGCTCTAGCTCCTGCTCAAAATTAGGGACCTTTTTAGTGTATAAAAAAATACTCATGCGTAAAAGTGTCCTCATTATTAGTACTTAAACACTCAACATCATCATTATCACAGGCCATCGAAAGTCCACTGCTGAACAGAGATTGAAGAACATGAAGGGAATATTTGCCATAGTTAGCGCTTGGAGGGTGGGTTAGCAACGATAATTTTTTATTTTCTAGTTTTCTTAGAAAAACGCTACTGTCCATCTCCTTGTTTGTTACCCTTTGTTGCTTCTTACAACAACACCCAACAAAAGTAATGGGGGTCAGTGAATATTAGGGTCAGCCAATACGCGGACACTACTTTTGCACATAAATCTATACTTCCATATCCAAGAATGAGCAGGTTCTTCAACCACATCAGCTGAATATTTTAGGTACATTATTTCAAATGTGCTTCTTTCTACAAAACCTGAGAGAAAAGATGGGGTGATAGATTCTCACGCCGCTACTACACGGTATATAAGGTAGGAACGCGAAAAAAAAAGTTAAAAAAAATTTTCAAAAGATTTCTACTTTTGTCTTAAAAATTTCATGGTGCATAATATTTAGAATTTTCTGTGATCAATACATATATGACTATTTTTACCGCCTGGAAAATACAAATGTCATATGGTGTTTTGTGTAAGTGGAATAGAAGCTATTATCGACAGTATTTGTAAAATATAACGAAATATTACCAGATAGGCAATATTTCCGAATATCCAAAAAAATACATAAAGACAACTCATCCTGCAGCGTTTGCGTAAACCTGCGGCTAATAGACTACGATCGCTAGTGAATGAAAGTTGTAAGATCGAGCGAGACGCATGCACATCTTTCGTTATGTAGGCGCCAGGCAGCTGAGTTCAGAGGCACACCATTGTAGCCAACATTTTTAGATTCAGCTGACACGCGCCTTACGTTACCAAAAATTATTTTTTCATGTAAGTATTTAGGCACTTTTGATGTTTATTTTTCATTTGGACTGCCTCGTTGGTCTAGTGGTTGTAGTAGTGTGATAGCTGATCATGAGGTCCTGGGTTTGAATCCAAGAATCGGTTGATAAAAGGAAAAGATTTAAAATAAGGAGCACTTCTCATTCTTTCTTCCACGCTTTCATTAATAATGACGTCGCGTCACAGATTAATAGTTTACCAACAGATACATCACTCCCATACAATAGCGAAAATACCTACGCTATAATAGCCTACAAAATCTTAATAATAATATCTGCTGCTCGTAGCGAGAAGAAAATGTACCGTAAGTACGCGGACGAAGAGTCGAGATTGTGTTGCCCGCCGTGCGACTCACGTGCAAGCGCGTCATCGGACGAATGCGCTAAGACTGTACCTATGATGATTATTGTAATAAAACGAATGTTGCGAAATACATACATAATAACAATATTTAAAAAATGAGTTATACATTTTTTTCGTTCTCTGAATTCCCGGTTATTAAATTTTATCGTTGAAGTTTCCTAAATCGTGTAAATAATTTTAATAAATAATCATGAGGAAAACAGGAGCAAAGCAGAGGAAAATCAATGGTTTATAAAATTTGCAACACAGTGCTGCCAGGCCGATTCATTATTACGTTGTCAAAATTATTTAAGAATGCTCTTTCTAATTCTTCAATATAATTATTAAACGGTTCCGTTGGGACTTTTAGCCTACCATAAAAAGATGAATCTTTATTTTAAGCTTTGAAATTAGCATACAGTGTTGTTTCGTCAACATTAGGGTTTTCCTGTAACAAAGCATAGAAGTTATGTTTTTTTTTCTACATTTATATAATAAATACTCTAATACATGAGTCAATGCAAAAAAGACAATTTTTCATTTGTTTTTTTTTTACTTTTACACCCATCGACTGCACAATAATAACTTAAGGTTTTGGCATTTCGACAAGTAAGCTCGGGAAACGTGCGCGGTGCTTGCACCGTGCTCAGGCGGGCGTGCGACGGCCCTATGTCGGTTGTATCGTGGACGATACACAGAGCGGTAGGCATATAACGCGTGGCCTAGAGCGAGTGACGGAGGCCTGGTCGCGTGTCGCATGATTGTAAATAGCAAAAAAAATGTGAAACAGAAAATGGTAAGAAGGTAAATCACCTTTCGTTTCAGATTATTATTTTCGTGATTTCGACCTTTCCTTCATACTTTTACAGGCTTAGGACCGTCTAATATGCTGTAGTTGAGTAGAATTACATGTTAAATTTATCTTGCATTATAATGAATTGATAAACAGTGTGTAATAATAATTTTTCTGCCTATCTTGTGCTGAAACACCTTGGCGTATTTAAAAGATTGAAATCGAATTATTTACAAACTACACTGATTGATATTTACAAAATGATACTACATTATTGTTATTTACAAATAAAAATTACCTTTTTAGCGATATCGCAGTAACTGTTCAAAATGTCTACAGTTTCCTTCTAAACACAAACTAGCACGTCTTTGTAAATTGTTAAACTTCGAAGCATCACATATCACTTTTTATCACATTAAATGCGTCTATTACTTAACCTCAATTTAAATAGCACATATGAATAAATATTTTAGTCTATTCTTTAGTTGTTTTACGTCAATGCTAAAATTAGGTTAAGATACTGTGTTTTTTAAAATTGTCGGCTGTGGCAGAATACCAGCGGTGACCTACCTAATCACCAAATAGCTGAGTCACAGGCCAGTTTGTCTCATTACTTTAATGTTACTTAAGTATGTTTTTAAGTTAAGTTTGTGAATATTTTTATTTGTACATTTTTCATATAATTAAGGCACGTACATTGAGGCAAGTAAAAAGCTTATTATTATTATTATATCCTATACCTTTAAACGAGCAATTCTTGTATATATATATATATAATCGGAATCTCATCTCGGAAACGGCTCAACGATTTTCATAAAATTTTGTGTGCAGGGAGTTTCGGGGGCAATAAATCGATCTAGCTAGGATTTATTTTTAGAAAATGTCTTTTTGTCCGTGTTCTTAGGCAATGAAAAACTGCTACAATATCGTTAGAATAAGAAGGTAAATTTTGACAGTTTATTAATGGTTACAAATAGCTTAATTGGTATATTGGGCGGTCACAAAATCGTAATACCATGGTTCGAGCCCAGACCGACCGACCGACTTTTTTTAATTTTTTTTTTCAAGTTCATTTCTTTTTTGAGAAAATCAATTTTTTCGAGCCCTTTTTTAGTATTTTTTTAAAAACACGAAAATTTAAATTAAACTAATTGCACTCATGATTTTTTATTCAAATAACCAGTTCAGTTTTTTCTATTATGTCGCCAAGATCAAAAAATATTATTCGTATTTCATCAGTATGTAATTTGTATCTAAATATAATTTCCAAAACACACGAATTAAAAAAAAACCGAGCGAAAAATACCGAGCAAAGCTCGGTCAACCGGGTACTGCTGCTTTAAATCACTAAGACTTTTTGCTTTTCCTGTGTACACTAATCGTATTAGTTCGGCCCACAAATAAAAGTCTAGAGGTGTTAGGTCTGGTGATCTCGCCAGTTCACAAATCAACCACGACCTATCCACCTGTCACTGAATTGGCTCATCATTGGAGTATTGGTACATGCTTACGATACACACGCGGAAATATAAGCAATACGACGGCAACTCGACGTCGTGCCACAGTTTTTAAAAAGTAACTGGTTTCTCGCCAAGGCTGTCCAAGGGGACTTCTGTCAGTCATCTCTTCCATCTCTGCACAGAGAGGATGACTCACTGATCCCGACTATTCTGTGCTGTGGCGAAGGCTATGTGATCGTCTATAATCTGTATTTACTAGTCCAAGCGGGTTAATGACTTTTTAAAGTACCTATTTCTTATAATATCCTTTAACTTGAGTAAATAGTTTTAGATTTTAAAACTGTTTTATAATAAAGCTGTTTGAACCTCGTTACTATTTGGCTTATTCACTTACACCTAGGAATCTATAAATGACTATCGAGCTATAAAGCCGGTTATGGCACGGCGCAATTATTGTAGAAAAAATATTAAAATCCAGTTTGTATCTGATGATATTAGCTATTTTACATTTGCATATTTTATGTAATTTATGGACGCTTTGTCTTGGTTGTACGCCACGTGGCCATTAAAATAGTTTTACAGCACAGAAAATATTTGTGTTTGGGTCCTTAGTCCTGTACAGCCTCTCAGTATGTATAGTTTATATTGAAAGTTTAAGTGAATCAATAAATCAAGATAACAACAGTTATGACGGTGATAATGAACTTATGTCAATATTTATTACGCAAAATTGCGTACAATTACAAATAATTCGCTTATTCGTCTCACCTTGTTGAACCTAATTGTTGTTTTACGAAATGTCACGAACGGGATGACGTACCTAATACGTTTACTTCTTTGTATTGGGGACAGATATCAACTATGATATTTAACTAATTTAAGTTCCAAAATGATGGTGTAATTGCTTATGTCAAACAGCAGATTGTAGTAGATGCCTACCAAATTGCCCCAAGTGATGGAAACTTTTTGATCTTAAGCTTCGGTACGGAATAGTTTGTTGGTATAGACCACCCTGTTTCAATAATACCACAAACTATTTGGACGCTCTTAATGCTATATTATGTAACATTGATTGTTCAAATATTATTCTCACAGGGGATATTAATTTGGATATTTTACCTGGCAATCTATCTCGATATTCACCTGAATACATAAGTATGCTCTTATCTCATGGTCTATTGCAATACGTTAATTTACCCACGAGAGAAAACTGATGTAACTCAAACTCCGTTCCAAAATGGAAAACAGTTGTCCCAATCTAACAACAACAAAAAAAAAACACACACAAAATTGAGTTTGGAACCATAAACAAATCATACTTTTTTGACTGAATATATATCGCACTCATTTCTTTACACTATGTCACATTTCGAAGTTATAAA